TTAAGGTCCTGATCGACCTTCTTCAAGTCTGCCTTAAGATTGGTCGGATCAGCAGTCGGCTGAGATGAAGTGGCCTCGGATGATGGGGGGTGGATCAGAGGCAGTTCGGCCTGAAGTTCGGTGATTCTGGTCATCATCCGATCAAGGACGGGGGAAGCTCCTGATTCCAAGGTGGGTTGAACCAACAGGGTTATTGCGACTTAAACTAGTGCCGAGAGGTCAGCTATATTAAAGTCAACAAAAGCCAAGTCGGTGCAGCGTTCTACAATAGCTCTGATGGAGGTCGGGAGGTTTACTCGAGCCAGAATATTCATCTCCTGGGTAGCCTAAAGCAAAAAGAAGATAGTAAGTTGGGGAGACATGGTGAACTCTTTACGATGTAAGGTTAAAGTTTACCTGATTTAGGGCGGCCGTGGCTTCGGAAGGGGCCATGAGTTGGAACGCTGTAGAGGCACCGTAATGAGTTGTCGGGCCAGCAGTCAACTCATCCCCTGGTTGAAGGTGATGGGCGACAGCCAGTTCCATTCCCTAAACAAAGAGTGTTAAGCAAAAACGGAGGGAAAAAAAAAAGGATAAGAGAGATCACTGACCGAACCCCTTGGGGCAAAATTGACGGAAGCCTCGCCTGACTTCGAAGAGGAGATTTCCTCTATATCGTGAGGCGGTAGGTTTGGTTGGACTGGTTGAGGAGCAGCAGGAGGAACCTCATCGATTGGTTGAGCGGCTGGTTGTAAGGGTAGCACGGCAGCAGCTTGGTCGGGTGGTGCCACGACTGGGTCGGGCAATTCTACGACCTGGTCAGGTTCGGGTACCACCGCAATTACAATAGGTTCCTGTTGGAATAAATTGCAAGTGTCAGAGGTTCTGTAAAAGAAAAATATGGAAAGATTCTAATAGTTACATGTGATGGTTCCGCAACTTGATCGGGGAAAGCAACGAGTCGATCGGGCGTAGCCGCGATCACAGTCGGTTGGTCTGCGGTCGAGACCGAGGTCAACTGGTCTGCGGTCGGGACCACAGTCGTTTGTTCTGCGGTAGGGACCGAGGTCGGCTGGTCTGCGGTCGGGACCACAGTCGGTTGGTCTGCAGTCGGGACCGAGGTCGGCTGGTCTGCGGTCGGGACCATAGTCGTTTGGTCTGCGGTCGGGACCGAGGTCGGCTGATCTGCAGTCGGGACCATAGTCGGTTGGTCTGCGGTCGGGACCGAGGTCGGTTGGCTGGCGGTCGGGACCACAGTCGGTTGGTCTGTGGTTGGGACGACAGTTGATTGAGACGAAGTCAGATTGATCGGTGATTGCGCCGCAATTGGCTGAGATATGGTCGGTTGATGTTCGGTTGGTTGATGTTCGGTTGGTTGAGAAATAGATGGGGCAGTGGTCGGCGGCAATGAAGGACCCTCTGAAATAGAAGATTTTAAGTTAAGAAAGGTTTGCACGGAAAATGAAATATAGAAGGGAACAGACTTACCGAATTGTTTCCTCAAATATTTTGGCATTCCACTGGTGTCAACTGGCAGAGATGCCAAATATTCTTCGATAGCCTGTCTGTCAATGGTAGGGGTGACCTTCTGCTTTTGCTTCTTTGCCCCAGACTCGCCTACAGCAGGAGTCTGCCTTTTTCTTCTTGGGGCAGTAGCCAATCGAGGAGAGCCAAGCGCCAAGATAGGAGGTGGGGCAAGTCTCCCAACCAATTGGTCGGTCGAAGGAGCAATCAAAGACCAGGTAGCCGACCACCAAGTAGGAAAAGTTTCGGTCGCTGAAGGTTTTAGGCAGAAAAGTAAGTATGAGTGGGAGGTGATGTAGTCAGTGAGATGGGAAACGTAGGTCGGGATAAGCTCGGGAATCACTAGCCCGTCTGGGCTTTGAGGTATCAGATGAGGTCGAGCCAGTGGTCCCGGAATGCCCTGATAGCAACCAAACTGTCGGGCCAAAAATTGGGGTTGATAATTGTAAGTATAAAATAATCTGCGGTTTTTCTTGTCCGACCTCCTACTGGAAAACAGAGATCGGGGTTTCATGGCAACATCCCAAGAAAAAGAATAGGTCGGATAAGGAAGAAGATCGGGATGAGTTTGAGAAGGAGATATGTCGGGGTTAAGTTAAAAGAGATCAGTCGAATATTGTATCAGAGTTTCGTAGACATAAAAGCGGGAATTGCTACGATCCTCAGTTAGAATTTGGGTAATAACAGGGTCGGATGGATATAGATAGGAAGAATTAGGGGTTAATCTGGCTAAGGCATAACCAATGGACCTGTATGGGTTTGGAGCGATAGGAAGTCGGCCAAAGAATGCAGAGGGGAAGTACAGACGGAGCCACAGTTCTAGGAACCAGAATGGTCCCGAAGCTGCAGTGTCTACCTTTTTGGTGTCGGTTAGAGGGGTGCTCACTCGGGTTAAACCCTAAAAAAGGTTAGCTAAAAAAAGGGTTCCCAACGAAAAAAATTGGCCGCAGGCCAATTGAATAGCCAGATCAACTTGTGAAGAGAGAACTAGTTTAGAAGGGGAAAGAATGATGTATCTGTAAAGAAAATAAAAAGGATTCAATCAGCACATCCAACTTAAAAAATACGTACGCGATTAAAAAGGGAGAAGATGTACCTGTAGAGCCAGAAAAGGAGGAAGGCTGTACGTTCCAGTTCAGAAACAGGGGTGCCTTCCTTACCCTCGTATTTGTTAACAAAATTGGTCCAACCCCTTTCTTTTTCAGGGAGCTTAGCCAAGGCCCAACCAGCATGGTTGGGTAAAGGTTCTCGATCCTCAAAAAAGACTAGAACAGGATCGTCGCCTACGATTGGCAAGTGTGCAATGGCGGCCACGTCAATCAGGGTCAGCCCGATAGGACCAGCAGGAAGGAGAAATACACCCATCTGAGAATGCCAAAAGGCCGCCATCGCAAGTAGGGCCTTGTCGTAAAGATAAAGAGGTTGTGTTGAGAGGAGGATAGCTTTGTCAATTCCTTGGTTCTTCCATTGTTCTTCAAAGTGGGGGAGAAGCCTCGCGTACCATTTACGATAAGCGTCTTTTGGATCAGTGAGGTGAGTTCTGATATTGTCCAAAAGACATTCTGGCTTGAACGCAGCATTGTTAACGACGATTGGAGAAATCTGAGAAATAATGGATCTCATACGATCAGCGTCTGCAGTAGTGGTGCAATAAGGGCGTATGGTAGGGGTGAGAACCCTCGAAGCCACAGAAGGTACTGAGGGGTCAGCCCCATCTAAAGGAAGAGCGGGGACATATTGGTTAGCCATTTGCGTAGAGGTGAAGAAGACGAAGAAGAATGAAGTTTCAGAGGAAGCAGTTGGATGAAGAAACAGAGAAGGATTTTCAGAACTTTGAATGCGTGAGTTTGAGAAGGGGAAGGAAGGGTTTTACATAAACCCCTTGATTTGACGCGGAGCAGTGTAACGATCACACTCTGCAAACCCCTAAACGTCACATCTCCCGCAGTTCAAGGAGTGACGTTTCGGCGTTAGGCGGGAGGAGGCAAGTTGGTGAACATAAAAAAATGGTAGGTAGGGTTTTTGAGAATGGGCCTACCAAATTAGGTTAAGATTCATTCAAGTTTAATGGGCTTTCAAAAGTCCGAATATAGCTTCCTCGGGAAAAAGAAGATCGGGTGCGATCAGGTTAGACACTGAGTTCAGGTGTGACAAGGTCGGATGCAAGGATTGGATGTGATCAGGTCGGACACGGAGTTCGGGTATAACAAGGTTGGGTGCAGAAGTGAGACGGAGTAAGGTCGGACAATGAGGTCGGGCGTGGTTGAGTCAAGCTCAAAGATCGGGCGTAATAAGGTCGGACACATAGGCAAAGCGGTATGAGGTCGGGATTGAAGGTCGGGTGCGATAAAGACAGACACCAAGTTCGGGCGTAATCAGGCCAAATCTGAGGTCGGACATGATAAGGTCTGGTATGGAGATGAGGCAGGATAAGGTCGGGCGTAATAAGGCCGGGCACTGAGGTCGGACATGAACAAGTCGGGTAAAGAAACAGCAGATATGCAGGTCGGACGAGAGAACAGTTTTTTATAGTGGAGGGAAGTTTCAACCGGTGAGCGGTTTTGAAGGTTCGACTTGGTGGGTCGGTTAACACACGTGTCGACAGAAGAGAACTTTCTGGGCGGTTGACAGCGGTTACTGTAACCGACCAGATGGCGGTTCAAACCGTTTCTTTAAAGGGTTTTAAATAGGTCTGTTCCTGACCTAAGAAACCATCTTCAATCGACATCAAATTCAAGAGAATTGCTTTTGCGGATCACCACTTTATTTTCCAGTCTTTAATTTTATTTTTCTATTTTATTTATGTATTCTACAGTGTTTAGAGATTCCTAATCTCAGGCACTAATTATATCAAATTCGAAGATATTTTCCTATTTTCGAATTTTACTTTTTTATTGTTGAAAAAATGTATCAACAATTATAAGTTTATTAATTTTTTATATAGATAATATTGTTAATAATTTTATATACTATTTAAATTTTAATAATATTTAATACTTTTATTTTATTTTAAAATCTAATAAATTTAAATGTTTAGTAAAAAAAATTAACAATGGAAATTCTGTATTGAATTAAAATTAAATTAATTTATGAAAATTACTTTTAATAGAAAAAGTTTTATATTGTGTTTTATATTTTCTTTGTAATAAACTATAATCATTTAACTTATAATTTTAAAATAACGTGTTATTTCAAATTTAATAATAAAAATACTATATCAGTCATAACTATGAAATCATTTCAGCGACAATTTTAACACAACATAATAAACCATTTCATATTTGATAATAAAAACATAATATCAATAATAATAGAACTAGAAAAAACCATTCTAACCATAATTTTAACGTAATAAGTCATTTCAAATTTGATAATAACAAAATTATACAGAATCAATTGTAGCAAAAAGATACTGCAGGGTAGAGTATAACAAATCACAAATACAACATCAACCAGTCAATTGCAGTAACCAAAAAACAATCTGGATATGAAATTCTGTCAAATACTCCCCAAATTTTGCTTTCCCTTCAAATAGTTTCCTTCCAAAATTAGATATGCTATAAACAGGGGACCACAAAAAGTTTAACCTTTGCACTGCTATTAAAAAAAAATACAGAGATCAGTCAAGATGCAGTAGAGTAGAGAATGGATAAAATTTTTTGGAATATCTTTGAAAAAGGTAAATTTGCTTCATTATTGTATTTTACAATTATTTATCTATGTAAAATTTATTCATTTATTTATTTTTACCTTATCTCAAATTGTAGCTTGCCCCGTGATCATCTCAGTATAAGCTTTTCCTTGACAACTAGCCTATAATGGCAGGGAAGAAAAATCGCAGTGATAGTGAGCGTAACACAATAGTTCAATTTTTACTTAGAAATCTTAAGAATGGCAAACCTGCTTTTGGAAAAATGGTGGAGGCACAAAATTTTTTTTTCATATTCTAAGTGTACTGTCAGTCGGTACTGGAGGGATGCCAAAAAACAATTGGATAATGGCGAAGTAATTTACTCAAGCTATAAAAAGAAAATGTTTTTAAACCAAAGAAAGTGCTTCCAAATTATGAGTTGATTGCTAGTATTCCCCTCAAAAAAAGAAGTTCTATTCGAAGTATGGCTGCATCAATCAATTGTTCTAAAAGTACTGTTTGGGGGTGGATTTCAAGTGGAGCCTTAAGAGCATATACAAGTGCTTTTAAACCAGATCTGACAGCACCAAACAAGTTATTCAGGCTACAATTTGCACTTGAACAACTTGTTTACTCTTCAATTGAAGAAGCTATTCAATTTAAATGCATGGATAATGTCATCAACATAGATGAGAAGTGGTTTTATATAACTAAAGGTTCACATAGATTCTATATGACTCTGGAAGAGAAAGATCCACACAGAACATGTCAAAACAAGACATTTATTACCAAGATTTATGTTCATGTACGCAGTCTCAAGACCACTATATGGGGCTGATGGTTTGCTGATTTTTTATGGAAAAATTGGTATCTTCCCATTTACTTACAAGGAAGCTGCAAAAAGAAGTAGTAAAAATCGGGCAGCAGGATCCCTAATCACCAAGCCTATTCAATCAATTACAAAGGATGTTACTAAGGTTTGCTTAATTGAGAAAGTAAGTATACTACTATTTGAATTTATAAAACATTAGATTGCACTAGTGTTCATTCAAACTAACACAATCCAACTTATTCTATTTTATTATATGCATTTGCTAACTTTGAAAAGATTGAATGTGTCTATTATTTATTTTTCAATATTTTGACAGATTATCCCAACCATAAAGAAGAAATGGCCAGCCAACATGACAAAAAGAATCTATATTCAGCAAGATAACGCTAGACCACATATAAAAAATGATGATGCCGATTTCAGAAAAGCTGCCACAAGTGATGGATTTGACATTATTTTAGTGCAACAACCTCCCAACTCTCCAGATTTGAATATCAACGACCTTGGATGGTTTAGGACTATACAAAGTATTCAGATTGAAAAGGATTGCTCTAACGTGGATGAGCTAGTGAATGCAGTGGTGTTATCATTTGAAGAATTGACAGCAGAAAAACTAAACAAAGTTTTTTTGAGCTTACAAGGGTGCATGATTGAAATAATGAAGAGTATAGGACAAAATAAATACAAAATTCCACACATGAAGAAGGATGCACTTATTAGGCAGGATGCTTTGCCTAGACACCTGAATGTAACCAAGGATTTGGTGATTAATTGTCTCATATACCTCATAGACAAAGGAAAAGAAGACTATGTTATGCTATTGCTGTCCGGACTTGGATTTGAGGTTCAAGATGCAATCATCTCTCCCTCCTCAATGATAACTCTTTCTTGACTAAGCAAACAATGGCTTTTTTGTGAACTCAGAAGTATCAATATTTTATAAATTTCACTTTCTTTATTTTTATTTTTAATTTCTATACTGCTTTTAACACTAATATCTCATTATGCAGATGTTTCTATAAACAATTGAGTTTATGGGTCCTGGCTTGGCTATTATTGGTTTAAATTATTAATTTTTTTTTAACACTTTCTTAAAAGCATCTAATCATTGTGGCTTTCCAGTGAATCTTTAGGTTGATAAATTATTAATTTTTTAGCAAAATAATTGGCACTCTAAAGCCTAACTACTAACATACTCCGGTGTACTACATGGTAAATTCCTAATTTCATCTAAAACATTATTGTAGATTATAAATTGAAAGGCTATGTGTAATTGCAATATGTCAGCATTCTTCTTGTTTTTAATCAGTTATTTTCTTTATATATATATTGCATATCACATTTATCTAATGCAACGAAAGAGCCTAAAATCTCATAGAAGCAGTATATTGTGAATAAAATTTCCATGTGAGAAATAGAGTTCGTATATCCCAAAATCAACTAAAAGAGCCTCAAATTGCAAAAATTAAAAATAAATTTAGGCATAATTTCTCCAATCAGAAAAAAAAGCATAAATAAGTAAAGATTATTATTATTCTCACAGAGTGAAAATTGACGGGAAGTAGAGCAATTGAAACTCCTCCACGATTGTTAAAGGTCGTTTGAACATCAATGGTGATTCTGGACAAAATGAAGATCAGAATCCACCCAGACTTTGATATCCTTGTAAATCAGTGGAGGTATCAGTCACATAGCCAGAGAGGCTCACCTGGTCATCACCAAGCAGTGTCGCCACTGATGCATCGGAAAAATGAATTTCAGGAACAAACTCACTATATTCAACCGTCGAAACCACGGATGGAAAAGACAATCCGGTGGTCTCGGAATCAAAGTCGATTACTTCTCCCTTCGACATCCTCGGCAGCGAGGTGGTGGCGACTGACCAAGACCCATAAAAAATTGGATTAGCGGGGTTAGAATCCATGGCGAAATCGACTACGGCTTTCTTTCGTTAGGAAGGAGAAGAATTGCGAAGTCGACTAGAGTTTTTGTTGGGGGAGGAAAAAGAATTGCAAAACTGTTAGAATTTTTATGATTTAATTATTTGTTTTACTCCTATTATGTGTTTGGGTGGATTTGTTTATTTATATATTAAAAATAAAATATTTTATATTAATAATAGAATAAAATAATTAATTTTAATGGTTATTATTAATTATATTTTGATTTGATAAATTTTACTTAAAAAAAAAAAAAAGGATCATTTAAGGTGAGACAACAAAAGAAAAATGAAATATTATCATTTCATATGGATAAGAGACGAAGGGGAGGGAGTATATATTATTACTGTCTCCATGGCTTCGGAGACGAAGTCATCTCGAATTCCGGCGATCCGATTCAGCTGCCCGAGAACTCCCTTCTTTCTCCAGACACTGGCACCATGAAATTCTTGCTTCCAATGTTCCAGGAGCACATAGAGATCGCCATCGGACCGTTGATTCCCTCGGCCTTCCTGGACGGTCAGGATTCGTCCGACAACAACTGCACTGCACTGCTCTGTGGACTCCAGTGGTGGCGTTTTCGCAGTGGATGGATCAAGGGACCAACGCCAAGTTGATTGAAGAGGCGTGCGAGTGAGGAGATCAGGAGGTGCATCGAGAAATGGAAGGACTTGTACAAGAGAGGGTCTTCTACAAGGAATTTGGACGCTTATTTTTGCTGACACTTCCAGGCCCACATATTTAATTTTTAATTCATATGTCTTTTACAAAGTATTTTAAAAATTTTTAAATTAAGCTAAATAATGTTTCAATTTTTTATAAGAAAACATCCGTCGAATTATTTTTCTTTTACTTTATTTTCATTACTTTTACAATTATTTATTTTTATATATTTTATTATCTAATAATATATGAATAATATTCATTATATAATATTATATTTTAATTTTAAAACATTAATTTATATAAATTATAATAATATTGTATATTTTTTTATATTATCAAATATTAAATTATTCGAATTTGTAATAATGGTATTTAAAAGTCCGAATAATTCAAATAAATTCGGATTAATATATTGTCAGAATAATTTTTCATTTTCAATAATTTTTTTAAACAATCGTTGATAAGAGATTGAATATAAAAATCTAAAAAAATTTAAATATTAAAATTGGATATAAAAAAGTTTGTATTTATATAATAAATTATGATAAATTTAAATTTTTAAAATTCTAACTTTCAAAATTTAACTTATCATTAATTAAACAATTATGTATTTATTACTTCCTTCGTCCCCGTTACGGTGTCTCTTTTGCTGTAGACAATGAGAATTTATGAGGAGTATAATCAGTAAATAATTAAGAATATATTAGTGAAAATAATAATATTATAATAAAAATAATTTTAAATTACAATTAAGATAACTAAGCAGCATAATTTAGAAGGAGTATAGTTTAAGAATGTATTACCGTAGACAACGAGAATTTATGAGGAGTATAATTTAACAAATGATGTCTCTATAATATATTATAATGTTATATATGAAATGCTCTCCATAAATTGACGATGCCGTCTTAAGTAAGGCAATGCAAATACCTCAACTATCCCCGGGACCAATAACTTGGAGCAACGCACGGAAATTTCAAAATCAAGTTTCAGTCTTGACAACTAAATTGGACGAAGAAAATAAATTCAAAACACAAGCATGAAGACCTCTTTCGCCCTTCCTAATTACAATCAAACCAAGTCGAGATCAAGACGAACTTTCGGAATGTGCATTTTCGTTGCCCCACTAGAGGAGTTCAATGAATGATTTATTTAATGCTACTTGAATTTCTTATGTGACTAGAGGAAATTTCAAGAAGAATTAAATATTATTAATTTTTCAAAAAAAAATATATAAATGGTGGTGGATTTCCAAGACGACATAAATAAGAGTGGATTTTCAAGGTGACATCAATGAGAGATGATTCCCAAGATGATATCAATGAAAGTAGATTTTCAAGATGACATCAATGAGAGTAGAATTTCAAGATGTGGATGCATTGAATCTAGCATGTTTAATAAGTTATGTATTAATTTGTTTCACATATTTCCTAGATTGAATGTAATAGTTTCTAACTTTTGCATTTATTTTTCCTTGTTTATAAAAGGGAAAAATTAGATGTTGTTGATGTTATTTTTCAACCAGCAATAAAAAATAAAATCTGAAAGAAATTCGAATTTGACTACAATAACATCTGGAATTTATTCATCGACACCGTACGAAATGTAAACTAAACTAGATACATAGAGAAAAATAACAGATGATCTCCAAAGCAATTTTCACTGAAATTGATGCAGATTGAAGATGCCTTTTACCACCCGTGAACCGCTTGTTTATATGCCCTCTAAATAAGTTATCAGATCGTGCACAATCAGTTATAACTGACGGAGAAACCCCTTTCGTGTTTACAACCGTCTAAAAAATCGTCTTCGGTTGCATTTATACTAGAAACCGTCTGCTCGAACAGACGACTTGAAAACATCTTTACCCGTTCGGACGAATCACAAACCATCACCCGACTAGATAAATGTCCGGACCGTTCTCCGACTGAACCCACCGAACAACCAAGCGATCGACCAACCGACCAATCAAGAGACTGACTAGTTGCTAGATAAAACGACCAACTGGTCGCCCAATCAAACGACCAACTTCCCAGCTCTTGCAAACGACTAAACCACTGTCCGACCAAACGACCGACCAACCAATCGATCAAACGATTACCTAGTCGCCCAATCAAGCGACCAACTGACTGGCCTTTCAAGCGATTGAACAACCGTCTGACCACACGACCGACCAACTAATCGATCAAGCAATTAACGGGTCGCCTAATCAAGCGACCAACTGACCGGCTTTTCAAGCGACTGAACAACTGTCTGACCAAATGACCGACCAATTAATTGATCAATCAATTAACAGGTCGCTCAATCAAGCGACCGATTAACTGGCCTTTCCTTCAAATGAGCCTTAGAAGCCCACTTCCCATTTTTGGGTTTTATTTGTGGGCCCAACTGTTAGAATCTAATCATAGACCCATAAAAACCCTAAATATTTTAACAATTTGCCTCCTCCCGTCCGACTCCCTACCGTCACTTCTCGATCAGTGTGAGATGTGATGTGGTCAGGGAGTCTGTTCATCATTACATTGTCTAATCATGGGGTTTTATAAAAATCCCACTTAAAACCCCTTCGTCTTCATCTTCTTCCTTACACTTTCTAATCACTCTATTCTTTTGCGATCGCATTTCCTCCTTCCTCACTCAAGCTTCGTCCTCTTTCAACCATGGCCAACCAGTATGTTCCTGCCCATCCCTTCGATGGCTCTATTCCAGAAGTCCCCTTTGTTTCTTCTGTTGTTCTTACTCCCACTCTTCGTCTTTATTGTACCTCCTCCGATGACGCTTCTCGCATGAGGAACGTCATCTCTTCTGTAACTCCCTTAGCCATTAACAACCCTGATTTCAAACCTGAACGCATTTATGACCACATCAAAACACACCTTACCGATCCCAAATATGCCTTTCGTTCCTGGTATTCCAAGCTATCTCTTGTTTTTTATGAACAATGGCGACGACAGGGGATTGACAAGGCCATTTTTCTCTCCACCCAAACCCTGTACCTCCATGATAAAGTCCTTCTAGCCATGGCGGCCTTCAATGCCCAATTGGGCATTTTCCTTCTCCCAACTGGCCCGATTGGCCCAACCTTGATGGATGTGGCTATGATCACCCATCTCCCCGTGGTTGGTGACGACCTTATCTTGGGGTTGTTGGACGGGCAGGAACCGGCACCAGACCACGAAGGCTGGTTGCTTGTTCGCACCCCTGAGAAGGATCACAGCTGGACTAATTTTGTCATCCGCCACCAGGGTGCTGAAGGTTCTCCAGTGACCGCCCTGGAGCACACTACCTTTCTACCATTCTGGCTATGCAAGTACATAATCTCTTTCACTTGACCTGTTTTATATATATTTATTCTGAGGTTTGAATTATCCTTATACCTTTTCAGATATGTAATTCTTTCCTCCTCCAAATCAGTTTTAACTTCGTAAGTAGATTTAGCCATCCACCTGGCCAGTGGTCGCTTCTTTTTTTTAGGGACCTTCTTTTTGACCAATTTGTACGAGGGTTTATCCAGAGTCGGCGACCGCCTTCTAGACACTAAGAGGGTGGACACAACCGCCTCTGATCCTTTTTGGTTTTTAGAACTTTGGCTGAGACTTTATTTCCCAAAAGCATTTTTTTGGTCGGCTCCCCATATCTCCGAACCCCCATAGGTCTCTTGGGTTAGCCCTTGCTCAACTAACGCCTAATTCTTCTACAGTCCACCTTTCCGACCCTGTCATCGCGGCTATTCTTTCAGACGACCGCAACAATTCAACATTTTTTGTTTATGAGACTTACGTTCAGTACATCACTGAAATTTTTTGACCTTATTCGGATACCAACTATCCCCATCCTTATCCAGACCCCTTGCCTCATCCGACCTACCCCCATTCTTGGGACTCAGCCTTCAAACCACGATCTCTTTTCTCTAGTCCTAAGTTTGATAAGAAAAACCATAAATCTTTTTATACTTTGAACTATCAGCCGCAATTTTTGTCTCGACAGTTCGGCTGCTGTCAAGGTTTGCCGGGTCCACTCGCCCGTCCACACTTAATAACCCAGAGCCCCGACGGGCGAGTGATCTTATCTCACATCCAACTCTTACTTTCCCTTTCGCCGTAATCCCCAAAGAATCGAAGCCTTTCCCTCCTGGTGGTCGGCCACTTGGGCTGTGGTGGCCCCTCCTACCGACCAATTGCTGGGTAAATTAACTCCTCCCCCAGCCCTCGCCTTGGGCGCACCACCTCTCGCCACCATTCTTAAGAGGAAGCAGGCGGCTCATACCAAAGGCCCTAGTGCCCCAAAGAGAAAGAGAGCCGCCCGAACCAAAGCCATCACGAGACTTGCGTATGATCGGCAGACGGTGGAGGACTATTTGGTGTCCTTACCTGTGGACCCCATCTGGTTGCCCACCAATGTGCGCCGACACTTAGGTAAAGACAAACCATAATCTAACTTTCTTTTTCCTTTTAATATATATTCCTGACAACTTCTTGTCTTTAGAGTCGCTTGTTGAGCAACCAATTGACCAGCCTGCCGATCAACCAACCGACCATTCGGCCGATCAACCAGCCGTCCAGCCCACCGATCAACCAGCCACCCGACCAGCCTCTCACCCAAGAGATATTTTCCAAACTCCTCTATCTCTCACAATCATCTCTTCTAACTTTGCCTCTTTACTTGAGCACAGATCACCCCTTCTCCGCCTGCTGCTCCAACCGGCCAACAGCTGACCGCTCCACTAGCAGGACTGCTAGTGATCCGTCGGGAGGAGGACCCGACGTTGAGGCAGGTTTCCTCATCAACTTCTACCCCTTCCCGACCAGCTATGCTTCCGGTGAGTATGGAATGAGTTGTGAAATTATATTCCTCATTCATAGTCTAAGTTATTCTCCCTATCTCAGGGGCCTGTGGCAGCCGACCCTGCGGATGAACCGATTTCCGCCGAACACCAACCGTCAGTGGCTCCTGAATTGGTTCAACCGACCGTAGAGCCAGCTCCGCTGGTCCTTGCACCAGTCAAAGCAGACCCTGAACCAGTCCAAGCAGACCCCGAACCAGTCCAAGTCTCATCTTTGGAGTCGGGCGATGCTTCTGTTAATCAAAGTCGCGAAGTTGTGGTCAGTATTTCTCCCTTCTTCATTCTTCTTGTATTAACCCCGATCTTCTTTGACTTGAAACTTTATTTTTCAGGATTCGGAACCAGGCTTCGTAGGTCCCCATTCCGCGGCCGCCGAATCGGTCGCTTGGACGAGGATCCGACCTGGTCCTCTACCACTAGCCCCGGTTCTGTTAACCCCTTCCGAAGCCACGGCCATCCTCCACCAGGTAACTTCCATATTACCGCATTAACTTATTTTTACTTCTGAATCTCTGATCACTCTACTCTGTTCTAACAGGCTACTCATGAGATTACCTTTCTCACAAGAGTTCCATTACTGGCATCTGCTCGACCAGTAGTGATGCGCTGCGCCGATCTATCACTGGCCGACTTGAGTTTTGAGGACCTTAATTCTCTAGCTCAAGTGGCCATCGACTTACTGGTGCAGATTCCTGCTGAGTCTGTAGAGGCACCAGTCCTCAGTCGGATGATGGAGAGGATCATCGAGCTTCAGACTGACCTACCTCTGATCCGACCTCCAACATCCGACCCTGCACCGTCTCAACCCACGCCCGATATTGCGGCCATCGAGGCTTCTCTGTCAAAAGCGGCAGTGGACCTCAATGAAGGCTCCAACAGGTTGAGTGAACTCCAGAAGGCGCGCCACAATTTGGCCGCTGAGATTTCTCAGAAAAATGAAGGAGCTTGAAAGCCTTCAAAAAGAGCTGGAGACCCTAGACGACTGCATCTAGAAGGAAGGTCGTTTGGTGGAGGAGCAACGCCAGACCAGCGCCAACATCCATGATCAACTTTAGGCAAGCATTTGGTCGAGGCTGGTACAGGATCAAAAGGGCCGTCCACCAACGAAAGATGGCTCGAATTGAGCAAAAATGGGTGGATCTAGTAACCGCCCTGAAAGCACTCCTCATGTAACAAATGTCAAAACCTTATGTAACAATGTAAATTTTACCTTAATTTTATCCTTTTTTCCAAGGTTATTGATCCACTTATTTGCACCACAAAATTAAAACATGACTTGCTTATTTAAATCAAACCTTGAAAGAACAAATCACAGTAAACCCACAATTCTTTAGACACATGGCTTCTCCTCAAACTCGTGTACCTGCCACCAATTGGGAGGGTTCCTTGCAACCATTCATTGTGGGCAAGCACCTCATAGGCCACCATGCTGAGGACCTGATACAGGTGCTAAAACAACTCGACTTTAAATTCAAGTTCTTTGGCAGAGATAGGAAAATCATACATCGCACGATTCGCCTAATGGAGCGTGTGTCCACCAGCTACAAACCCCTCACTGACATTCTTACTCGCATATCCGACCTTGATCATCATATGGATATGATAAACCATCATGTCATGGCCATTCTCCCTGACCTCAGCTCGAACAATATTTTCTGTCAGCAAAGATCAACACTCTCCAGATTACGGGTGTGTTTGTTTGAAGGATTTGTAAAGATTTTTACTATTCATCTCATTTTTTCCCCCCAAAAACATCAAATCAAACACCTATTTTTCATTTTTTATATTATACTAAAAATCAATTTTACATTCAAAACATCACATCAACACCTATTTATATCACATCATACAACTATTCAAATTCAAAATTTTTACTATTCAAATCTCAACTCAAAATCCAAACCCCCAAACAAACACACCCCACGCGTACTTGTTGAGCGGGAAAGTCACTCTTTACAAGATATGAAAGTTCGCACCGAACAAGACCTTCAAGAAATGCAAGCCCAATGGGATCGTTATCGTCCCAACCTAGAAGACCTCCTGGACGAGGAACCTGAAATAGTTTCCGCGAATTGGGATGAAGTTTCTGAACCAGAAGATGATCATGTTTGCGTCACCCTTTCGGACGACGAATAAAACCCCTTCCTGTGGGTTCGAACCCTTACAGGGTTCTTAGATTTGTTGTAATAAAAATTAACGACAGTGCTCTGAAAAGGTAGGAAAATACCTTTTCAGATACTTGCCGTTAATATTCTCATGTACCAATTTCCCTTCCTGATTCACAATAATAAAAGCTCCATTTCCTATTTTCCTGTGAATGACGAAGGGCCCCTCCCAATTCGGGGACCATTTACCCATTTGATCAACTTTCGTGTATGTGGGTAGAATTTCCAAACTAGATATCCTTCAAGAAAAGTCCGAGGAGACACTCTTTTTCCATAATACCATGCCCGTACTTCGTTCTGTCGGATCATATGTTCCAAGGCCTCTATACGTTCTATATCTACAGACTCCAGCTATTGCATCATACTTTGCTGATACTCCATCATGTAATCCACATCAGTAAATTTACAACATTATTCACTGAATTTTGTGCGTGAGTAATATACTCATGGACTTCATTTGTAAGTAAATTTACTCACAGAACAAATTTTGTGAGTAATTCCGTGAGTAAAAATCAAGAAACTCCCTTATTTGTGACGGAATGATTCCATGAATAATTCCGTGAATAATTTACTTAAAAAATTACTCACGGAATTTTATCTTGCAACATGTCAATATGATGTTTGAGAATGACTAATTTCTGTGAGTAACTTTCCCGACCCCAAAAAAAAATTATATTTCGATTTATCCATACCTATCCCAAACTATATATTACAAAAACACAAATCAAACCATAAAATAAATTTAACCAAGCCAAATATCCAATAAACAAACTGCGATCGAATCACACGATATTTATAAGCACAATTCCGTTATTGATGGATACCACAAAAATAGTAAATATAATCGTACATTTGAAATAGTATAATCCGTACAATATTAAAATTCAAATATTTAGTACCAAAATACTTAGCGGTCTGATCGTACATTCATTCTCTCAAACTGTTGTAGGATCGTCAGAGCATAATTCTCAAAACAATCAAACCGTTACTCCAACCGCACTAGCCAACTGTTAGTCCTTGGAGCACTAGGCGTACGCCCATCAATGCAATTTTACAATGCAAAACATGAAAAAATTTGGGGACTACTTTCAATTCAATCCACAACTCATTAAATAAAAAACCAATCCAGAACTGATTAAACTAAAAACCAATCCACAATTGAAATAATTGTGGCCATCATTAAGATCTTTAGAGATGAGATTTACCTAGAAGCTTGTTCGTTGTTCTTCAAGATTGTATGCGACTTAGAAGACCATTTTGAAGGCTGAAATTATAATAAAAGAAAGGAATTACATATCTTCGGAGAATCAATTGACGGATGCATGATAGACTATTAGTATGTACATATGAATTGATGTAAGTAACCAAAAAGTACAAATTTGTGAGGGGTGGAGGCATGGTGGTGGTCACGTGACAGGGTTGTCCTAGTGTTGTGATCTATCTATGTCGACAAAGGATACTACTATCAATATCATTATATGCTAAATGTTTTTTCTTATTCTTACTTCATACTAATTATCATCTATATCCACCCCACCACATGTTCCATTCTAGAGATAAAACAACCAAATCACAAAAGTTAAAAAAAAAAAAAAATTAAAATGTAAAATTATTGATTTACTTTCTAGATATGTATTATTATGAATACAACTATGTCATATAATCTTATTCTTATATGTATATATACATATACATATCAACGATGTCAATAAATTAAAAAGTGAAGCAAACGGTTCATTCATGACGAGATTGTGTAGAGATCATGACACATAGAGTGATGCTCACTAAATCTTCCATGCAGCAACAAATTTTTTTGCACCATTAAATATGGTTAGATTACATAACATTAGGATGAGAAGTTTAAGGAGCACCACTTCAAATGGAAAGAAACAAGTCTAACAACAGAATTCAAAAGAACAAGTTAATGTGATAGGACTTATTATGTCTTGCTGCCTGTCAGATACTAAAGTGCACTGAGATCTCATCACTAATGTATGTCTACTTATGAAATATTCAGTCCAATAAACACTTATGCTATCTATATATCTGATGTAACATCATTCAAGTTAATTACTACCACATGATTGATGTAAGCACAACACTATCAATTTTGTGGAGACATTCAAATGATCAAAATCATAAACTCTCCCAAAGTAACAATCTGATTTAAGAGGCCATGACTCATTCAGAGCATGCTTTGCATCATTATATAAATTTGGTGTGGAATAAAACACATTGGCGCGGCTATCCTGCAAGAAAGTTTAAATGCAGCAGATCACTTGGAAAAATATAGAAGAAGGACACTTTAAGTTTAAAATGAAATTTAGAAGCAAGAAATAGTGTAAGAACACTTCAACATTGTAGAAGTAACACCTTTGTTGCTCTAATATCTTCCCATTAGACTAATCTCCATCTACAACTTTCTCTTTTCTTCTTCATCTCCACCGTACTTTATCTACCAAAAAATAAAAAATCAATACACAAGATAGAAAATCATGAACAAACTTGACTCCTAAATTTTGGTACAAGGAACCTAAAATTCTATACTAACGTACCACAAAAGTGGTTTTCCCCAATCTAGCAATCGGAGAGCAAACTGATTTTCAAGGATACTAAACAAAGTCGCTCTCGAAGCCCCGCAAGATGTCACTGTTTGAACACAGTCCTCCCCATCCTGGAGCTCGAACTCCACATCCTCCAATGGTGACGGAGGGCAGAGTTCAACCTTCCTTTTGTCGATAATTTATATTAATCATGCAAATACAAATTTCAATATTAATGCTACAAATCAGATGAACATAGATAATGTCTTTGTATCCTCAATACGACTACTTTATTTTTCACCATAACATAATGAGGTATAAACTAATAATATGTTATTTGGATTTGGCTTAATGGGGTGGATAAATTGTGCATATTATTAGTTTATACCTCATTATGTTATGGTGAAAAATAAAGTAATCGTATTGAGGATACAAAGACAAATAACTAAAAAAATTTAAAACAAATATTGAGATTCTCTCATTTCTTTAAAAATGAAATTTACCACTAATATAAAGAGGTAAATAGCTACAAAACAAGCAATTTGGACATTTCAATACCATAATTGATCAGTGACTTCTAGGAAATACAAAATAAGCACATATTATGACAATCAAAATTGAAAAAAAAAAAAAATATATATATATATACATATAAATAAATCAGCATTTTAAGAGACTCGATCAATGTTAAGAAATATGTGGTTTGCTGCCAACATGCAACAAAATAAATACATTAGACTTGCAATTAAGTTTTTAACTTAAATTTTCTAAACGAAGTTTGCATCCACTGCAATAAAAGTTGGCATGCTCCAGCAAAGATGAGTAAAATGGTTCAACGATCATAATATATATTTGGATCAGATCTATCTTTTCTCATTGACAGTGTCTACAATATTTTACACACAAGCTAGATATGTGTGTCTGCTGGAAATAATATTTGATCGTCTAAATTAAAGCAGCTATGTTAGTCTGGTTAGCAGGAGAAACTGCAATGGCAGCAACCTGGCTTCTTACCCAACTTTTCCAGGAAGGAGAAGAGTATTCTAATAAACGAATAATGCACACAATCAGAAACAAAAGTTATACAATGCATCCAAGGAACTCGCTGGCACCACAACCACATAAACTCATCGTCGGATGAAAACCATAATTGTTAAGAAAGTCTCCTTGGAACCCAAGGGATGAAAACTCAAATAAACATGAAATGAACATAATTTTCTTAACGAAATCATACAAATTATAAAGTTTTTTTAGAATATCTCCCTTGGAGCTGCTAGGAAGATATGTCACCATTTACACATAGTAGATTATAAGACTAATTGTTTCCACAATCAAAGAGAAGTTTGAAACACATCACTTTTTGAGTGGACAACATATTGGTTCTATGCATAGCCAGTTTGATATATCCAAATCGATCTGCTTTTACGTAATTTCACTTCTCTTTGTCTGTCACTAGACCATGAATCACCTAAAAGTGCATTGTAATAGGACATGCTCTAATGTCAATTGCAAAGTACACATCCTTGTTATGATATTTTGATATGGTATTAGCAATTGCACTCAGGTCACAGATTATCTCTGAGATTAATTGACTTGAATAGTAGAAATAGAAGAGTAGACATAACACATACCAGTTCTGGGTCAAATGCAAGTCCGTCAATAGGAAACCCCATAGTTTTCAAATTTTCCATGTAGTAGTCATAAGCCCTTCTGTTAGCACTCAAAGAATCACACATAATGAGTTTGCCAAATAGCGAGAAGACTCTTGTTTATTTTCTCAATAATGAAATATGTTCAACAATCTCTTCACCCACACACTTAAATAACGATTAATCCTGAGCCCAACAATTAGGTCCACAACTAATAAAATACGACAATAACAAATGATACAATAATAAGAATAAATAACTAAACCACTGCCGACCCAGCTCACTCGCTGCGACACCGTCAGCTGTACACTAACATAGGCCGTGGCTGCGCCACCCCGACCCCTTGCTCCACATCAACTCCCTCACCTCGAGAACAACCTTGTCCCCAAGGTATTCACCAAGGAAACAGCAGTTGGAACTCACGCCCGCTCATCCACCTTGTGTCTTCCTCCAGTTGACCAACCCAACGTACCAACAACTGTATCACCTCAACATCAGCCTCTTCCACGCTCCGGCTTGCCAACACCGCCTCGGGTTCGAACACAGGAACCTCAGGCAACTCCAAGGAATCCGGTAGATGCCTCCACTGCATGGTCATGGTCACTAATCACTCTCTTAAGCTTCGAAACATTGAAAACTGGATGAATACATCTAGTCCCCGGCAGCCCCAACTTGTAGTCAGTAGGGCCAATGCGAGCCACCACTTCAAATGACCCAAAGAACTTGGCGGCGAGCTTGTGGTCTTTGTCGACGACGTCTGTCGATGGGGACTCACCTTCAAGAACACCCAGTCGCCCACCTTATAACTAACATCGCGGCGATGACGGTTGGCTGCACGTACCATTCTCTCCCTCGCACGCATCAAATTATCATGTAGACGAGTCAACATCACAGCTCGGCTCTAAAGCATTTCAGCCACCGCCACCGTGTGACACTCACCTGGAAAGTACCTCCGGAGCGTAGGGGGTTGCCGCCCATAGACAACTTTGAATGTCCTTAATTTTTTTTGCAGTCTAGAATGTCGTATTGTACAAATATTCTGCCCAGGGCAGCCAGTTCACCCACCTTTTCGGTTGCTCCCCTGCAAAACAACAAAAATAAGTATTCAACACCCAGTTCAACACCTCTGTTTGACCATCCATTTCAGGATGATACACAGAACTAAACTTGAGCAGAGTACCCAACAACTTGAAAAGCTCCTTCCAGAAAATGCTCATAAATAAAGGATCCTGGTCACTAAAAATGGACCACGGAATTCCATGCAAACAAACCACCTCACGCATGAAGGCCTCGGCCACCGACTTTGCTGTGAGATTGCCTTTTAGTGCTATAAAATGACCATGCTTGGAGAGGCGATCAACCATACCATCACCGAGCTATACCCCTAAGACTTCGGCAACACGGTGATGAAATCCATTGAAACATCCTCCCAAATGAGATCCGGAATCGGTAACGGATGCAACAACCCGGCCGGTGACAGAGCCTCATATTTTGCCTTCTGGAAGATCAAGTGTTTTGCCACGTAGTCCTGCACTGCCCGGAACATGCCTCTCCAATAAACACTCGAAGCGATACGTCCGCAAAACTCCAGCATGGTCTCCCAAAGGGGTGTCGTAGGATTCCTGAAGTAGTTTCAGAATCCACACTGAGTCAGAAGCTAGCACAATGCGGCCCATATAGAATAATTTTCCGTCGACCGTCTCAAATCCCAGTCGACTGCTCGGATTCCGACGGAGATCAGTAACAATGCTCTGAACGAAGCCATCGCGTGCCTCCTCGGATAGCACATCTGCCAACTCACCCCAATCCGTACTACTGAGTGCTAACAAGACTCTTTCATTCCCCTTCCGAGAAAGCGCATCCTCTGCCGAATTAGTTGCACAGGGCTTGTACTCAATAACAAAATCATAGCCCAATAATTTTTCCACTCAATTTTTGTTGAGAGGGTGTAACGATCTTCTGTGATAGGAGGTGCTTCAAACTGCTATGATTCGTCCTCACCGTAAACTGGCGACCCACCAAATACGGCCTCCAATGCTGCACTGCTAAAACCAACCCCATAATCTCCCTCTCGTATGCTGACTGCGCAAGAGTTTTCTCCGCCAAGGACTTACTGAAGTACGTGATTGGATGCCCTTCCTGCGTACGCACGGCACCAATCCCAGACCCAGAGACGTCACACTCAATAACAAACTGCTTCTGAAAATCTGGCTTCGCCAAAACAGGAGCCGTTGTCAAAGCCGATTTTAACGCTTGAAACGGCCCCTCGGCCACTTCCGTCCAAGCAAACGGAACAGAAGCATTCTTCTTCAACAAGTGTGTCAAACGTAATGCAATCTGCCCATACCACTGGACGAACCGGCGATAATAACCGGTAAGACCCAAAAATCCCCTAACATCAAAGAAACTGCGAGGACCAGGCCACTCCACAACCGTCCGTATCTTCTCTGGATCCATCTCCACCCTTGCCGTTGATATCACATGACCCAAATACTCCAACTTCGAGCAACCAAATGAGCATTTCTTCTGGTTCCTCTTATATTGATTATCTTGAAAGACCTGTAGCTCCTCTCTCAAGTGCTCCTTATGATGCTGCCAAGACCTGCTGTAACCCAAAATGTCAAAAAATATCAACACAAATTTCCTTAGATAAGGTCGAAAAAGATCATTCATAGTGGATTGAAAGGTTTCTGGTGCGTTAGTAAGCCCAAATGGCATAACCAAGTGTTGATACTTTTTGGCTTAACCTAATACCAAGCCCAACCCGCAACCCAAAACCCTTTAACCCGACCCGATTTTTTGACCCGACCCGACCCACACCTTATAACTCCCTCTTCCCTTCCCTTCTCATGAGAGACACAGTGTGTGTATCGCGATTCAGTTTTCTCTCTGGTTCATCTTCATTGCCATTCTTCTCGGTAAGTTTGGGGGTTTTCTTCTTCGCCGAAATTGTAGTCGTTCTAGTTCGATTCCTTCGGTAAGTTGTTCATTTGAGTGTTCTTTGTGGGGTTTTGGGGGAAATCGGTCAATTAAATTTTAGGGTTCTAAGATTGAGTCCGTTGGTTTGGGATTTTGTTTGGAGGCGGTTGGGTTAGTCCCTAAGTGTGAGTCATTAGGTTGTAGACTGAGCCTTCAAAATAGTTTCCCATATCGTTTGTCGGGTCGCTTGGAAATCACCGAAAGAGGATCCTCGTTGTTTTTCGTCCGCTGCCATTAGTCGCCGGAGAAGGGAGCCGTTCTTTTTGTATGCCACCTTGCGACTGCGATCGCTAATGCCTGGTCATTGCCGCTGTCCGGAGTTAAAAGAAATAGGGAAGTGTTTTTGCTTTCAATCCTTTTTTCTTTTTAAACAATAAATTGTGTTCTATGAGTTGAATACCAAGTTGAATCAATATCTAGTGCTTTCCTGTTGTTTTTATTTGGAACACATTCTAGTTGATGTTGATTATGTTATTGACTGATTAGTAAAATCACAACACCAGGAACTCATAATGACCAGTATAAGTGCGAAATGCCATTTTATAGATGCCACGATCCTCTACCCGAATTTTGTGGTATCCAGAACGAAGGTCAATCTTTGAAAATATCACCGCTCCCGACAGCTCATCTAACAGCTCCTGAATAACAGGAATGGGGTATCTATTCAGCATTGTCACCTTATTGAGCTCCCGATAGTCCACACAAAAACGCCAGCTACCATCTTCATCGTGACTAACAACACCGGGCTGCTGAATGGGCTAGAACTAGGCTGGATGATTCCGGCTAAGAGCATGTCCACAACCATTTGCTCAATCTCATCCTTCTGCACCTGACCATAGCGATATGGCCTCACCGATACAGGCCCCAAACCTAGCGCCAACTCGACCCTGTGCTCGGTACCGCAATCGGGGGCAGCCCCTCTGGCTCCCCGAAGACCTTCTCAAACTGTGATAAAACCTCCACGATAGCCTCCTCTGCAGGCTCCGACACCCCTAGAGGTGGCCCCAATACTACCGTAACCAAAAACTCTGCTTCCTCCATTCGAACCAACGCACGGACCCCAATAGGTCCCCTACACAGAGCTGAATCTCCCCCCAAATGCACTCGACTTCCTTTAAAAACAAATGATATCGTCAATTTGGCCCAGTTTTTCTTAACTTCCCGAAGTTTTGCCAACCAAGCTACCCCAAGGATAAAGTCTACTCTACCTAGCGGAAAATCGTAAAAATCCGCTTTTAACTTGAGACCGGCCATTGACAACCCAATATTGCGGCATATTCCCAGCGAATCCAAGCGCCGCCCATCGCCCAACTGAACCCAAAACCGGCTTGACTCATCAGGCTTCAAATCGAGCTCCACCACCACGGTACTCGAGATGAAATTATGGCTAGCACTACTGTCAATCAACACCGTAACCTGACGCCCAAGCATTTCTCCCACGAAGCGCAAGGTTTACGGTCTGGTGAACCCCACCATTGAGTACATTCGCAACATGCCTCCTCCTTCTCCTCTTCTTCCGGCACGACTATAGTTGTTTCCCTCTCTTGCCGATCAAGATCACCGTGAAACTCAAAACAGTGTAGATCTAACGCCTCGTCCTCCTCTTCCATCAATATATTCAATTGCCATATAGGGCATTGATGCCCTGGCATATACGTTTCTTACAACAAAAGCATAAACTTTTCGCTCGAAGTTCCGCCATCTCTTGAAGAGACATGTGGGAGAAACGTGATGAAGTGGCCGACTGCACCCCGGAGAACAACCGCACTGGCTGAATTCCCTATGGGGTCTTGGGCCATGCGACCCGGTGGACCCCACCAAATGAGGCACACTAGGCCTCGGCCCGGAGGGAAAACTCTGCCCTGACGTAGGCCGGCTGTAGAAAACAGGCCGCGTGAACGTACTACTTCTAGCCCTCCAACCTTGGCCCCCACCCACAATTACCAAATTTGACTCAACATCTCTTGCTAGGTCCATCGCCGTCTTCAAATTTGGCGGCTGCATGAGACGGATTGAACCTCGAACCTTCTCTGACAACCCCTTCATAAAGTATCCCAAATACTATTCATCACTCAATTCTGGAACTTGACTGGCCATCTGAACAAACAAGTTGGAGTATTCCTCTGCCATGCCCATTTGCGCAATTGCCGTGAACCTCTCGAAGGGGCTTTCCTTTAAATGAACATCAAATTGGTTTGTCAGAACCCGAGGAAATTCCACCCAAGTCATATCCGATTTTCTGGATCGAATCTACGGAAACCAATATAATGCCGATTCCTCCATCGCCACCATTGTAGCCGCCAATTTCAACTCCTCGGATGTATGGTGCAACTCAAAGTGCTGATTGGCCTTCGCCAACAGCCGATTGGATCTGCCCGTCAAAAGAGGGCAGCGACGTTGGCGTCATATCCCTCCTCACTTCAGCTCTAATCTCACGTCCCGCCTCGGTCGCAACCGAGTCTACCACATCATGGCAGGCTTGCTGTCGCGGGGTGGTCGACGTCCCAGGCACCTCACCCGTCGCTAAACGGGTAGCCGTAATGGAAGCGACGGAAGCCGTCAGCCCGGCCAATGTACAAGCGATCTCCTTCAACTGCTCGGTTACCTTAGTCTGATTCTCCGCCATCATCTTCATTTCTGCCCTGATCTCCTCCTGTCTATTCTCCAAATCCTCAAATCTCTGTTCATTGCATATGTTCGTCATCCCGAGTGAGTGTTCCACGCTCACCGCACCAATTGTTAGCACTCAAAGAATCAAACGCATCACGTTTGCCAAATAGCCAGAAGGCTTATGTTTATTTTCTCGATAACGAAATATGCTCAAGAATGTCTTCACCACACACTTAAATAACGATTAACCCTAAGTCTAACAATTAGGCTCACAACTAATAAAACACGACAATAACAGATAATACAATAATAAGAATAAATAACTAAACCACTGCCGTCACAGCTCGCTCGCCGCAATGCCGTCGGCTGTAGACCAACAACGGCCGTAGCTGCGCCAACCCGACACCGTGCTCCACATCACCTTCCCTCCCGCATAACACACAAACAATATAAATTATTTAGCGGTGAAGGCTTTTTTTTTGGGGGGGGGATTATGTAGCATGAAACTTTTGAAGCAGATTAGCATTGATGATTTTTTAATTAACTTTAAAGTAGTGGCTGGATGTCCGGTAGAGTGTATTAAATATAGTGTAAGCTGTATATAATTAAATGAATATATATATATGATCCAAGCATAGAAAATGAACTATTTCCTTGTGGCTTGGCCCAGTGTTAGAGGCGAGTTTACTTGCCATAATATTATAAACCGTTTAACATGTAGTCCATGCCGTATCCAATGGCAGAGATTGATCGACAATTAAGCGTTCAGCTGCAGAAGATGCCACGAGGCCAATATCTAACAGAAAGGGGATCCTGCAAGACGGTTCAAATTCAAAAGAGTTTAGCAACACTAGAACTAATGCATAATAAAATAACAAATAACACTTTTAGAAACTAAGCCAAGAACATAATATTTTGAGCAAAAACAGCCATGATCATGTGATTATGATTAGTATCTATAATATCGAACCTAATTAATCTATGATCCTTTTTATTGGAAAGTTATAGAACTGACTAACGATAATGGAATCATTCAGTAAATCAACACAAGCATACCTTTCATAATCATTGCAAACTTATTAACCATCAAGAATTCACAACATCATGATAAATAGGAACCAAGTCCTCATGTAAAACCTCTCATGCAGAACTTATTATACGAACAACTACAAGTAAAAACATCATATATCTGATTTTTGTTGCACACCTAAGAAACTTCAATGCAAAACCAAAAACCTTTTAACCACAGAAATCAAGAAAGGCCAAATAAGAGAAGAGTTAATCAAGAAAGTAACCGGAATGCCTATGTGATTAAGCAGTCGATCGACTTCCTGCATTTCCATTCTCGCAACTTCCCTTTAAGGCCGAGGAGGAGTCGCGCGGCTTTGTGGTTGTGTTGCGGAGTGGTGGTTGGGACAGCGGCCGAATATTGGGTCAGAGAATCTTGTTGAACCTAGTCGGCCACTGAAGAAGAAAGAGGAAGGCAGCAAAAAATTGGATTATAAAAATATTAATAATATATTTATAAATTATTATTCTAATAAATATTTAATGATGTATTTTAATTAAGTGTTAAAAAATTTATTTTTACTTATTGTTACGCACAAAAAATAATAATAATAATAATAATAATAATGGTAGCAGGATCTTAAAGGAAGTTAGGACACGAAGTTGGGCGGAAAATGAGAAAATATGCGCTCAGGTCGGTTGGTCAGGTCGATTGGTTCGCAGGTCGGAAGGTCCGCAGGTCGGATAGTCTTCGAGTCGGATGGTTCGTAGGTCTGAAAGTCCGCAGGTCGGATAGTCTGCGAGTCGGACGATACGCAGGTCGGAAGGTCCACAGGTCGGACAGTCCGCAGGTCGGAAGGTCCGCAGGTCAGATAATCAGCAGGTCGGATCAATAAGTTGGATGGTCTGCAAGTCGGGAGGTTTACGGTCGGACCAGTAAGTCGGAAGGTCTGTGGTCAGACCAACAAGTCGGATGGTCTGCAAGTCGGGAGATTTGCGGCTGGACCAACAAGTCGGAAGGTCTGCAGTCGGATGGGATGGTTTACAGTCAGTTGGTTCGCAGTCGGTTGGTCCGCCATCGGTTGAGTCGGTCAATTCGGAGTTTGGACCAAGCGAAGGTATGTTAATTAGTTTGCCTAATTAAGTGAACAGTAGTTCATTCACTTGATGAGGCGACCAAGGAGTCGTTTGGTCTAGCGACCAGTTGGTCTCTGGAATGATCGGTTGGGCCAGTTGAGTTCTGGAACTGGTGGAAGCGTTTGGCGAGACGGTGTAAGACACGTGTCAATAAATGAGGAATTAGTGGGCGATTGCTGTAACCAACCAGGCGACGGTTCTTAAACGTTTTCTTGAAGGACTATTTAAGGATTTGGATTTTTTATCTTCATTTGGATATCACCACTTTATTTTCCAGTCTGTAGTTTTATTTTCCTAGTTTATTTTCTGTACCGCATAGTGTTTAGAGATTCTTAATCTCAGGCGCTAAATATATCAAATTCGAAGATAATTTCCTATTTTCGGATTTTACTTTTTTATTGTTGAAAACATACATCAACAAATTGGTGACCACAGTGGAAGAAAGGCAAGATTGTTGATCCTACATCAACAGAGAATTTCATAGGACTGAGGTCCGGCCAAATTATCAGAAAAATCAGGATGGCAGGTTCACAACCTCAATCATCATCAGCACCGGTGGGAGAAAATATTTCACCACCCGTAATGCCAAATCCAGGGGGGATTCCCCAACCACCTACCGATTGGTTGTCTTATGTTCAACAATTGAACAATCAACAAACTTTGGTTATGCAGAACATGTTGCGTGAACAACAAAATCTAATGCAGAACATGTTGGATAAGGCGTTCTCCAGATTCACCTTGTATCCAAACATGCCTCCAGCTGTGTCACCTTCTCTTTTTCAGGCTACTTTTCCAGGATCAACGTTTGCAGGGCCAACGTACGTTGACAGTACATTTCCAAGCGTCACAACTTTCAACCGAACAGATATGGGGAAGACTCCTCTAACTTTCCCAGATAATGTTCATTTGGGACCGAGGGTTGATAATACCCAGCCGAATGAGAGGTTGGGGGGACAGGCTCATAATCCCATCCCTGCAGAGCCAACTGTCCCCAGAGAAGAAAGACTGGGAGATCAGATTCATAATCTCATCCCAGACGAATCAGCCTTCTCTAGGGAAGATTTTGTTCCACCCAGGGTACATCCGGAGGATATCGCTCAAGTTTTGCGGGTGCATTTCGGAATGAACCCGCAAACGGTGAACCGACCGGCGTATCAAAGGCCATTTCCAGAGAGAATCATCAATGAGTATCCTCTCCCGAGGAATTATCGACCACCGGACTTTCATATTTTCTCAGGAGAAGACGGATCCTCCACCGTAGAGCATGTGGGTCGGTCCACAGCACAGTTGGGAGAGGTCGGTAATAACCTTTTTTATAAACTGCAACTATTTGGTTTGTCTCTTACGAGAACAACTTTTTCATGGTTTGTAAATCTGTCACCTGGGCAAATACAAACCTGGGAAGGTTTAGAGATGGCGTTCCATGCTAGATTCTTCAACCCTTTACCAGTCGTCTCTCTTTCCGATTTGTTAGAATTGAAACAATATCCAGAAGAGGCAGCCTCACAGTTCATCAAAAGGACACGTCTAATGAAGGGGCGTTGCCCGACAATCATTGAGGAGAGCGAAATGACCAACCTGGTGAATATCCATACACGATTGTGGGAGGCTTTAACGGCCCACGACGTCCGAGATCTGGCCAGTTTAGCATCCAAGGCAGGGAGGTTAGAATCCTTTTTTAGAGAAAACGATCACGACTTTTGTCAGGGGGGAGGTGCTGAAGAAATGGTAGTCCAAGATCGACCAACGTGGAGGCCAGCACCAGTCCGCGATAAATGGAGGTCGGGTCCAACGTAGCCTCAAAAGATGGAGGTCGTATCTGAGGCTGACGTGCCCTCGGATGACGGCCTGCTAACTCCTAAACATCATAAGAAATTATGCTTAGCAGTCTTGAGGATGAGGCAAGGTGTTACGCACAAATAATAATAATAATAATAATAATGGTAGCAGGATCTTAAAGGAAGTTAGGACACGAAGTTGGGCGGAAAATGAGAAAATATGCGCTCAGGTCGGTTGGTCAAGTCGGTTGGTCCACGGTCGGTTGGTTCGGTCGGTTGGTTCGCAGGTCGGAATGTCCGCAGGTCGGAAGGTCCGCAGGTCGGATAGTCTGCGAGTCGGATGGTTCGCAGGTTGGAAGGTCCGCAGGTCGGAAGGTCCGCAGGTCGGATAGTAGTCGGACGATACGCAGGTCGGAAGGTCCACAGGTCGGACGGTCTGCAAGTCGGAAGGTCCGCAGATCGGATAATCAGCAGGTCGGATCAATAAGTTGGATGGTCTGCAAGTCGGGAGGTTTGCGGTCGAACCAGTAAGTCGGAAGGTCTATGGTCAGACCAACAAGTCGGATGGTCTGCAAGTCAGGAGGTTTGCGGCTGGACCAACAAGTCGGAAGGTCTGCAGTCGGATGGGATGGTTTGCAGTCGGTTGGTTCGCAATCGGTTGGTCCGTCATCGGTTAAGTCGGTCAATACGGAGTTT